AGTGGTACTGAAACAGAACAAAGTAATTTTTTTTTTACCATTTTTTTTTCCACCTGTGGTGCCAGGGAAGAGGAGAAGAAGAGAGATGTCTCTCTGGTATGGAAAACAACATTCTCAAAACACTTCATACCATTTTTGTACCAATATCAGGTACTGGAGCTACCAGTATTCGCTTTAGGCTTATTCCTATATCTAAAGAAGTTAACAGCATAGGTTTTATGATATAGAGAGCAAAAGTTCCATAGGTTCCATACTTCTTCAACACATTTCCACCTCCAAGACAAAAATACCTACTCATATAGATAAGCAATCACAGGAAAGTGCCAGGGTCACAAGAAAAACCATCCTGCAACAACATCCATCTTTTCCTTAAGATCGCAAAAGAAAACTGAAACTGGCAACAACACATCGCAAGCTAAAGCTGAGCTTTCCTTGAACCAAGTTTCCCTAGTTTCCACCAAATCATGATGCTGAGGCAAAGTTAGGGTTCTACAAGCCAGACTTGGACCCTGAATTAACAAAGCACACATACCTGAAATCTTGTGTTAAATGTGAGAGGTTTATGATCCTTGTTACCTTGAGCACGTTTTTCAGTTGAGCTCTGAGAGCCAGGTTGAAGGTTTGTGCTTGGTTAAGTCCACCAGGTCTCCCCAACCCTTCAAGCAGCAGAGACCTCCCTCCATCAGCTGGCATTTCATTCTGAGGCAGCAGATGGGAGGCAGAAGGATGTCTAGGCTCTGTTTTACACATCTCCAGATGTAAAGAGGTTGCTTTGCATTGGGCCTAGCATCCTGCTCCTTCAGGAGTATGCAAACTTGTGCTTCTGCTCCCCATGGTGAGCAGGCAGGCTGTGTTCTGCAGCCAGGACTGAGGACTTGGTAACCCAGGTGCAGGCAGCTCCTCTGTGGCCAGCCACACCTCTGTGGCATATGAACTGACCAGGCCAGTGTCTCCTCCTGGACTATCCCAGACCACAGCCCCAAGCCCCAGCCCCCACCCAACCTAACAGAGAGCAGAAGAAAACACATGCAGTGGAAAAGCAGTGGGTTGGCCCCATGCTGCAACAAACAGCCTCCCTGGTCTTACGGTCTGGGTCTATACAAAGCCTCGAGATGGAGAAGTGCTGATAAAAGCTCCAGTTTAAACCTACAGTGTTTCTTTTGTTGTGCAGCAGATGAGAACAACGGCTCATCCTTGACTGCTGTGCAACCAGGTGAGGACTAATCCAGGCTGCTCTGAATGACAACCCAAGAGCTCCAGCAGGGCAGCACAATATTTTGTCAATACTTACAGCTGTTTCCTCACAAGCAATTTTGCTGAGTGACGACTAGTTAAGCCTGGCTATAGGTCAATTCATCTCACTTTCAGCACGGCTGGGTAGATGGGAGTAGCAGGATGGATGGGGGGACGTCTCAGAATACCAAATCAGAGGGACAAAACACTTCTGCAGGAGGCATGAGACAGCTGCTGGGGCTGGTGAACAATCCACTATCACAGAGCTGCCTTCACAGGCTTGGTTTTTCATTTTGATGTTAATTAGTAACCTTATCTAAAGAAAATCTCAAGTTTTTCCTTTGTAAATTACATGAACTAATAGATCTAACCAGAAATATGAAGAGTAGGCTGACATTTACATCTGCAATAATTGTAAGAGCCTTGAAATATTT